TGCAGGTCGTCGCAGTCGGAGGGGCTTCGAAGAGAAAGCGCCGAACCTTGGACATCTGATGCTCGGCGATCCGAACACACTCCGAACGCGCACCTCTTGGCTCCTAGAACTTCCCGAAGATGTTTTGCCGGGCCCACTCTTTTTGCGTGCGGGGTCATGTTCTGGAGGGCAGTTAGTTTTTCGCGCGGAGGTGTCATCGCCGCGCAGTAGGGGTCATCGTGTCTGACGTTCTGCCATAATTCCTGCAGGTCCTGAGGGGCCCGAGCATCCCGGCCGTGCACCTTGTCGAACGACCCCATGTTACGCGCGCCGTGCTGAGGGGTCACCGGAGTAACCCTTGGCGACGAGAAGATCTCCATCGCGCCAGGAACTCGAACACTGAAGACGCCCACATCATCATTGACCTCAGGGCACCGGCCCGGCCCTGCTGGAATTGGCTGTCCAGCTTCTCGATCTTCAGCTGCGAGTCGCCCACCGACGCGTCTGGGGCCCGCGGGTGCTCGAACGCTCTTCCCAGCAGATCGACCTCGGAATGCCCGCTGCCAGCTGGTTCGCGCACGGGCACTGTGACCCCCGGCCTTTTCAGGTGCAACCGATTCTCCGCCACGTCGAGGGTATGTCTGCAGCATCTTCATCGCGAGCTTGCTGATCAAGAGACCGGCTGATCCTTCGACCACGTAGCACGGGGTCTTCGCGCGTCGGTTCGCCTCGGGGAACGGCCGCTGGATCCATCGTGCTCTTTAGGACCGCCGCGCCTTGCCGTCGTGGCCCTTGAACCTGATGCTCGCCAGGTCGCCCCCCCACTCCGGCTCGATGCCCGTCGCCTCGGCGCGTTTCTCCGGCGCCTCGGCGCCGATCAGGGCCACGCCGAGCTGGAAGTCCAGAGCTCCGCATCTTGGAGCACGACGCGCAGACACCTCCGTCTCCGATTCATCATCGTCAGCCTCCTCGATCTCATCTTGATCTGACTCCTGATCTCCATCGGCACGCTCGCGAGCCAGACGTCGGAACCGCTCCTCGTTCATCAGCTTTGTCATCGGCGATGCCCTGCCGTCCGTAGACCACGACGCCAGCAAGACGTCAACTTCGTCCCAAATTTCGTCTACTTCCTGCCCGCTCTGGCCGACCGCCAGGACCTGCGCGGCCCCCTGGCTCACGGGCTTCGACTGGAAGGGGCGCTCCATGAAGCCGCCCGGTCGTCGCTGTCCGTTGCGAGGTCCGGGTTGGTTCTTCCTTCCTGTTTGGGCAGTGCTTGCTGAAGTGGCAGATCTCCCGGCACAGAAAACACCTGTTCTGGTCCGTGAGCCGCTGGTAGCTCTCATTGGATGGCAGACCTCATTGCAATTTCTCCCTGGTGTCCTCGTCTCCTTCCACGTAGCCCAGATGTCAATCGCGTCTTCCTCCTCGATTGGGCCGTCATCTTGCAGCAGCTCGTTGATCTCTGCTTCGAGACTCTCCGTCGTCGATGCTGTCTCGGCCTCCGCCGCTGGAGTCCCTGGGTCCGGGGGCGGTGGTCGCCCGTCCTCCTCTGGGGTCGCCTCGTGCACTTGAGTAGCTGGCATCTGCTTCGGATGCGCCGTCCTGGTCGCCGCCGACATCTCCACGGAACCCCACTGAAGCTGGCTAGCCGCCCGCACGACAGCTCGACGCCTCACGCCGAGCCCCGCCCCTCTGAGGAACAGAAAACCATGTGCCACTGTTGGCAATTCAACTCTCTCCTTCATCGCCTTCGCGAAGGTGGTGCGGGCTCTCCCCGTATATGCCGAAGATGTCTCTCCTCGCTCGGTGGCGAGCCCAAAAACACTCTTCGCTGGCCCCCTTGCCTGGAAACTGTTCCTCCAGAGCACGAAAGATGGCAGCCTCGCCGTGCTCCTGCTCGATGTCCGCGAGCTCCAGGTGCTCGGGCGCCTTCTCCGTCTCGTCGTCCAGCAGCGTCAACACTAGAGGTCCACCCGCGTCTGCCGGCAGCTCACGCCTGATCTGCATGGCCAGCTTGGCCCCGACCCATCGCCTCCAGCTCTTGTACTCCGTCGCCGCGTCATTGCCCTTGCCTGATAAGCTGCGACATTGGCCACCTGCCTGGCCCCCCGAGCGCTCTTCTCGGCCATCGTCCTCGCTGGAAGACTCGACTTGGCATAAGATCAATGCGAATCCTGACCTGGTTCTCTGGCTCCACCCCGAGCCTTCACCTCGAAAACCGACTCGTCCCTTCAGACTTTTCCACGCGCGCGCCCTGGACACGTGTAGACGAAACTCCACCAAGAGTTGATTTGAACCACGGCAGCGGAAGCGTGCTAACACATGTCTCTCACTCCCTGGCATCAGGCAACGCACTGCGTTTCACAAGGACTCCCCTCTCCCACAAGCACCCCCCCCCCGGGTCCCGAACACCTCCCCCCCTCCCACAGGGGGGGCGCGGGGGGTTTCAAGCCCCCCCCCGCCCCTCGGCGCCGGCGCTGGCGGCCGCCAGCAGCGCCGACGGCGGGGACGCAGCGACGATGACCAGAGGCAGCCCAAGGGGGGTGGGTGGTTCAACCCCCCCCCCACCTGGCGCCGGCGCTGGCGCTGGCGAGGCGGCGGCCAGCAGCGCCGGCGCTGGCGCCGGCGACGGCGCTGGCGCCGGCGACGGCGGGGACGCAGCGTCGATTACCACCACTACCCCCACCACCACTACCACCACCACCACCGCCTCCACCCGCCACCACCACCACCAACCCACCACACAACCACCACCACCATCACAGCCACCACCACCACCACAACCACCACCACCTTAACCCACCATCAGCACAACCACCACAAAAACCAACCACCACTACCACCACCCCCACCACCACAATGTACCACACCACGACCACCACCGCCACAACCACCACCACTACCAGCAGCACAACCCACCACCACCAGAAACCACCACACCACCACCACCACCGCCACCACCACCGCCTCAAACCACCACCTCCACAAACCACCACCATCACCACAACCCACGATCACCATCATTACCGCAAACCACCACACCAACACCAAACCACCACCACCACAACAAACCATCACACCACCACCACCAACACAAACCACCACCACACCACCACCACCATCACCACCACCACAAACCATCACCACACCACCACCAAACCACCACAAACACCACCACCAACCACCACAAACACCACCACCACAACAAACCACCACACCACCACCACCACAACCACCACCACCGCCACCACCACCACAACCCACAACCACCACCAACACCGTCGGCCTCTTCGACGCTCCCCGCCGCCGCCGCCCGCCGCGCAGGCGCCGGCGCCGGGCAAGAACAGGACATCGTCGTCCCCGCAGCCGCCGCCGACGCAGGCGCTGGCCCGAGGAGAGGGAGAGACGAGAAGCAGGGGAGGCAGGGGGGGGGGGTCGGGTTCCCCCCCCCTCCAAGCGACCACAGAACGCGCTCTTTCCGACATCATCGTCAGCATGAGCATGATCATGATCATCATCATCATCATCATCATCATCACCATCATCATCACCATCATCATCATTACCATAACCATCACCATCACCATCATCATCAGCAGCAGCATCATCAACAGCATCGGCATCATCAGCATCAGTCTCATCATCATCATCAGCAGCATCAGCATCAGGGTCCGAAACATCATGAGCATCATCAGCATAATCAGCATCACCACCATCATAATCATCACCGCCACCAGCATCATCAACATCATCTTTATCACCGTCAGCATCATAATCATAATCACCAGCATCAGCATAATCGTGATCAGCATCGTCTTCATCATCACCAGCATCATCTGCATCATCATTAACATCATCCTCCTCCTTCTCATGATCGTCTTCATCATCATACTCATGCTGATCATCATCAGTGCCATCATTATCATCATCCCCGTCATATCATCATAGTCATCATCAGCATCATCAACAGCATCATCATCATCATCAGCAGCAGCATCATCATCATCATCATCATCATCATCGTCGCCATCGTCAACATCGTGCCTCCACCTTCCGCATGTGCACCATTTCGGCACACGTACCTCACGCGGTCCGTGGCCCCATAGAGAAAGCTCCACCGCGAAGGCCCGAGTGACAAGGTCCTCATGCGTCCCCCCCGTCCATGTCGGCACACCCCTCACACGCTCCGTGTCCCCATAGAGCGAGAGCTCCACCGAAGGCCCCAGTGACGAGGTCCTCGTGCGTCCCCCCCCGCCCATGTCTGCACACATACCTCGCACGCTCCGTGGCCCCATAGAGAGAGCTCCACCGAAGGCGGCCCCCGCGTGGCAGGCTCGGAGAGGGCCTGGGCCCGGACGGGAGGAAACCAAACACGCAGCTCTGCGCGCTCGAAACCGACGGGCTCGGAGATCCAGGAGCGTGGCAGTTTTGTTGCACGACGGGGCGTTCTCGCCAGGGCTCGGGTCCCGGGGCCATCACAGACCGACGCGGCTCGAATGATGCAGCAGAAAAGTTTATAGGGCTCCCAGGTCTTAGGTCTGGGATGTCCTCCTGCAGAGGCGGCTTGTGGAGGAAAATGCAAACTGGCCTAAATCACCCAATATAGTCAGAGAGCACGAAACATTGGCCCCAGAGCATATGCTCTATTATTCTTCTATATATTCCTCCTGTAGAGGGACATGCCCGACTCCATCCCGGTCCCGACTTTGCACTTTGGTTCGCAGCGTCGGATCTCGGAGGGTCCGCGATCTCCGGGAGGATCGCAGACCTCCCCCGATGCGCGATAAGGCTGCAGGGGCATTGGACGCCCATGTCGAAGCTTCTCGAGCGGGGGGCGGCCAACGAAAGTTGCCAAGGATGGACCGAGAAGGCATGGATGCGAGGGTACCCTTGGGAAGGTTGCCCGTCCTTACTGTGCAGGTTGGCTGTAGGGTTCCCGGTCCCGATTTTGCGTTTTTGTTCGCAGCGTCGGATTTCGGGGGAGGTCTGCGATCTACAGCAGGCCGGGAGGCGGGGAGCGCCTTCGGGGCGTAGGGCACCTGCGGGGGCGGGCAGCACACCCGGGGCGCCGCGGGCGCCAGGCCGGGCTCCGCCGGGCCCTCGTCTAGGTCGACGACGTCCATGTCCTCGGAGCCGGAGACGGGAGCTCGGCGGCAACTCCTGGGATCGGGGATGGACAGAACCCTCTCTAGCAAAACGTGGTTTAGAGAAAACGACCTCGGGCCCAAACCTGGCGGGCGCAATCCTGGAAAATAACGGTCGCGGCGCCTTCTCGAGAACAGAAAACGGACGATTCACTACTCGACATGTCAGGGTGGGCGGTCTGTCCAACCCCGATGGGAGCCTCCCATGCCATCCGGTCGGCTCTTGCGAGTCGACGCTGTCGACGCTAAGTCGACGCTACATCGACACTTAATCGATGCTGGCCGGCGCTAAATCGGCGCTATCTCATCGACTCCTAGACGCTAATCGACGCCCGTCGACGCTGAAGGCAGACTTGCGAGGGTGCACAATGCTCCCATGATTTGCGACCACAGAAAAAAAACAGGGGAGATGGGGGATGAGGGGGAGAAGCGTGAAGCGTGGCAGACACCCTGGGCACGGGCCACCATCGATCGGCTTTGCCAAAACTGGGTTTAGCGGGACCTGGTTTAGTGATGTATACTGGGGGACGCCCCCCCGCCCCGTTCCACTTACCGGAACTGTTGTCACCCGAAAAAACACCAGCTACCGGCAGGCCTGGTTTGGTGATTCCGGCCAGTTTAGGGGCTCCAGGGCCCTACCACTAACTGGGTCCCCTTACCTGGGGTCCTGGCTATACCCGAATCGACCTGGAATCGGCGATCCATGGTCGACACGTCTTTGGACGCCCGAAATGGGTACGGAAAGAATGGGTACAATGCCCAACAACAAGTGTTGTCCCAAACCAACAGCGGCCGCTGTTGGGCAGGCGGCCTTCTGTCTCGAATGGACACAGGCCGCGGCGGCGTGGACAGCGAGTCCTGTTCAAAATGAACAGGATCCGCTGTTGGGCATTGTACCCGCTCTTCCCGTGCCCATTTCGCTCGTGCCGAACGTCGAACCCACAGGCCCCCGCCGACAGGCCCCCAGCGCCCGGGGCCACAGCTGCACGGAGGGAGGGCGGCTCCGTCGCAGAGTGCGGCCTCCGGACTTCGCCCGAGACTTCGCACAGCCTTGCAACCCAGACAAAGCATACGATTATGAGGGGCAACGATAGGGGGGGACGGGCATAGGGGGGGATCTATTGACCTGGAATCGGCGATACATCGCTGATAGATCGGCGATAGGCCCCCCGATAGTGAATCCGCACCTTCCTGGGCAGGTTGGGACAATAGGGCCGCTATCGGCGATCAAAGGGCGATTGGGGGTCGATGCATCCCCCCTAGACCTATTCCCCCCTATCGTTGCCCCTGAGATTATGTTGCTCCCATCGTACTTCAGGACCACATCCCCAAAGTAATTTCGAGCACCAGGAGAACTGTCGAAAGAGTGTCGAAACAATGTCGAGACAGTGTCGGACGAGTGTCTCCCAGGGCCCGACACGTGAAAACCCTCGAGTTTCGGTACTTTTTTCCGGTGCTCGAAATTCTTTCTGGTGATCAAGGCTAAAGTGGGTTGGAACATCATACACATACGGTAGGTTCGCGCGGCGCGCGCGCACAGGTTCTTGACACCGCGTCGATCGTTCATCCTTAATTCGATCGCGGCCCCGATCGTTCAAGGTTGAGTTCAGCTGGGTCCAATGACGTGACCGCGTCCCTCGGTGCTTCCGCGTCGCAGGTCTCCACCTCGAGCGCCGTCGCTGGCGTCGCCGGCGCGCCACCGCCGCACGCACCTATCGCAGGTGCAGCCATCCTTTGTTCCTGCAAGGATTCACACGCTACGGCGGGGGCCCTGTGGTTTGTGCGAGCGGGCCGTGCGCACCACGCGGCCCAGGCGCAAGCGGGGCGCGGCGCAGGGGCAGCGCCGCCAGTGCCGGCGCACTGGGGCGTCATCGAGAGAACGGAGCCCATGATCTGAGCATGTTCTCAGGGCGGAGGGCTGAGGGTGAACTCCACCATGGGCTCCTGCACCTCGAAGCTCAAGCCGTCTCGTGACCCACCTCTTGCAGATTCTGGCCTGGAGGACCCATCGAGACGGCATTTCAGGCTTCCACCCTTTGCCCTCCACCCACAGAACATGCTCGGCTGATACGGAGGCGGGGGCACGCAACGACGAGCCGCGGCTGCAAACGCACGGGTGCAGGATATCTCCTGCTTACAGAGCGTCGCCGGCGCTGTCGGCGCCTCCCGAACTTCGGAGACACCCCGCCTCGCCGCCTTCCTGCCGGCTCGAGGGAGGGAGGGCGGCTGCCTTCGAAACAAAAAGGTAAAGCAAGCGCGTTCCACGACTCGCCGTGCAATGTCCCTGTCCTTGGAGGCCCCCCCCGGGCTACCTCGCCCCCGTGAAACCCCCCTGGGCGATTCACGAGGGCTGCTCCCGCACGAGACCCCCCCCAGGCGACTCGTACGAGGACAAATGCGCAGCCAAGACCCCCCCTGGGCGACTCGACTGCTCGGACCGAGCTCGCGCAGGCGCTTTCCACGACTCGCAAGGCAACTGCTCGTCTCAAGTGGCCCGCGTCCGTCGTGGAAACTTCACGGTCCACTACATCGAACCCACCATGCGTTCTTGCTTCGGACTGCTCGTGAGTAGGCTCTTTGCGAGTAATGGCACGCACGCGGTGAGGAGATCTGGCTTGAGCTGCTGACCCGAGGGGCAGCTTTTCCTTCCCGCACTCAAGAGAGAGCTTGCAAGGACGGATGGAGAGGGGACTTGGGACGGGAGGGTGCGTTGCAGCACCGTCGATACATCTTGGCTTTCCTGTAGTCCGCATCCTTCTCCTCCTCCTCCTCCCCCTCCTCCTCCTCCTCCTCCTCCGCCTCCTCTCCTCCTCCTCCCCCCTGTCTCTCCATGGTTCATCCTTCTCCTCCTCCTCCTCCTCCTCCCCCTCCTCCTCCGCCTCACCCTTTCGCCTCTCCTCCTCCTCCTCACAATCCTCCTTATCCTTCTTGCCCTCTCCTCCTTCTTCCCACGGCCCACGCGGGAATCCAGCGCCGCCCGTGAGCCGGCTGACACCTCCACTGCCCTTCAGGTGGGGCGGTCCCACCGGGGTGGCCGGCTGTAAGAGTCAGCTCTTTACCAGATATGCTCCTGCAGCTTAAAGACTGGCATGGCAACAGCATCACAGATGGAAGACGGCCCGTTTTCGTGATGAGACTGTCGCCTTAAGGCCGCGCGCATTCGTTTTAGGAAATTGCAGGTGCTTCACGGATTGAGGGTGGGTCGTTTTCAAAATGTGGCTCTCACCTTTGTGCCGCGCATTCCTGTCTTGAACATGCAAGAGCTTCACGGCGATTACTTTTCAATCTGCTGCCCTCCCCTTAGTACGCGCACATTCGTTTTTCAAATCTGCAAGATCTTCACGGATTGACGGGAGCTCCTTTTCAAAATGTGGCTCTCGCCATTGCGCCGCGCGCACTCGTTTTTGAACATTGCGTGAACTTCACGGATTGAAGGCACTTCCTTTTCAACATGTGCCTCTCGCCTCAACGCCGCACACGTTCGCCTTCACAGAATGCTAGAGTGTCACGGGCTGACGGGGGGTCATTTTCAAAATGTTGCCCTCGCCGTAGCGCGCGCTCGATTTAAACATTTGCAGGAGTTTCATGGGATCCCATGGCCAGCGTACCAGAAACGGTGTTTGGGGACGACTCTGGATTGTTAGGGCACAGCAGTTAGGTTGATTCGCAATGTTGGAATCCCAGGAATGGTGTCCTGGCACGACCCAGGATCGTCAAGACGCAATAGTCAGGTTGATTCGTGGCGTTCATGTCCCGAGAGCGGTGTTTTGGCAACCTTCAGGACCCTCAATTGGTTGTCTCCCAACCAGGCACTTCCCTCCAGGGGCTATGCAGAGAGAGCCTGGAGGGATGGTCTAAGGGTTATTCCAACATCAATGATGAGTCTTGGGTTTGCACTGGTCCTCCTCCTCCTCCTCCTCCACCCTCCCTCCCTCCCTCCCTCCCTCCCTCCCTCCCTCCCTCCCTCTCCCTCTCCCTCACCTCCCTCACCTCCCTCCTCTCCCATCCCTCACCTCCCTCCTCTCCCCTCCCTTCCCTCCCTCCTCTCCCTTGCCTTCCTCCCCCCCCCGCTCGACACGACGACGACGACGACAACAATTGAGCAGGGACCGACCGTCCCGGCATTCCTACAATCCTACCACGAAATATTCGCAGAACCCCAAAATTTTTTAAGCACAGAAACAGTGTTCTTAGAACATAAACCCGATGTACAGACCCCGCCAGAAATGTTCTAAGAACATTTTGTGGAAACCACAAGAGGTTCTTGGAACACTGTTTGGTAGGGCTAGAGGCAAGCCAGGACGCTTCGCCACTGCCCGAATCCCCTCCGTCCGAGAGGCGCCCGCCGGCCGGCTGCGCGGCGGCAGCGGCCGGCGCCAACGGCACGCCGCCGCGGTCGGGGCCCCCCCCTGCCACAGGCCGCGGCCTCGGCCGCCGCGCGGCCGCCTCGTCGGCCGCGGGCGGCGGGGGGCAGCAGCCCGTGGGAGGGCGTCCGGGCGCCACAGGCGCCGCGCGGGCCCTCGAGCCGGAAGGGCTTGCCGCGTTCTGTTGCGTCTGTTTTGATGTTTGGTTTCTGGTTTTATCCCCCCCCAGCGCTAGTGAGGGTAACTAGAGGCCTCCTGCATGGGGTGGAAGTAAATGGGGTCAGAGGATCGCACCGCATCGGCGATGCGTCGGCGCCGTCGGCGTGGAGAAACTCGAGCCCCATCTAGGAGGCCCAGAGAGGAGGGGGAGCGGACACAGCAGCACCATAGGAAGGGCTTGCCGTGCGGCGGGGGCCGTCGCTCCTGAGGAGAAGGAGGAGGAGGAGGAGGAGGAGGAGGAGGAGGAGGAGGAGGAGGAGGAGGAGGAGGAGGCCGCCGCCGCCGAGCCGCGCACCTGCCCCCTGGGTGCGCCTGCGCGCCTGCGCGTCGGCCGCTGCCGGGCCGCGCTCTGGCGTGCCGCCGCCCGGGGGGTCGCTGCCACCCCCCCCTCCCATGCCGGTGTTGCTCGAGGTGCCCCTGGCCCAAGGTGTCCCCCGGACTTCGGAGGAGGCCCCCACGGCCTCCAGGGCACCACTCACGAGGCCCAGGGGGCCCCAGGGGCTCCCCGATTGAGCGAAAAAGGTGGGGGCTGCCTGGGCCCTGGGCCAGGGGTACCTTTAGCAACGCCAGACCCATGGGTCTTCGGTTCTCATGCCCCCCCTCCCCCTCCCGCGGCCCACCCCCGCCTCCCATTGCCCCCCCCGCCCATGGGTCGCCCCCGCACCTCCCGCCTCCAATGGGGTGGCCTATGGGAGGGCGGCGGCCGTGCTTGCGTGGGGAGGGGAGGGGAGAGAACGAGGACAAGGGCGGAGGAGGAGAAGGTGGAGGAGGAGCAGGAGGGGGGGGGGACGAGGAGGAGGAGGAGGAGGAGGAGGAGGAGGAGGAGGAGGAGGAGGAGGAGGAGCAGGAGGAGGAGCAGGAGAAAACAGACAGAGAGATAGAATGAAATCGGGTACGAAACAGCTGCATAGGCATGCACTTTCTGTGGTCTGCGCGGGTTCTTGGCTCGGCGCTGGAGGACCGCTCGCCGGCGCGCGGATCGCGCCCAGGGCGGTGCCAGAGGCACCGGGGGTCCAGCGCCGATGCAAGAAATCCGCGCGGACGTCCGAATGTTTATGACGTGCGACGTCTTGATGGTTCCAGACGGCGGCACGAGCAAACTACAGCATTGCAGCTTTTCCCAGATAAACCTGGACATCTTCTCCTCCTCCTCCTCCTCCTCCTCCTCCTCCTCCTCCTCCTCCTCCTCCTCCTCCTCCTCCTTTTCCTCCTCCTCCTCCTCCTCCTCCTCCTCTGCCTCCTCCTTCTCCCTCCTCCTCCTCCTCTGCCTCCTCCTCCTCTTCCTCCTCCTCGTCCTCCTCCTCTACCTCCTCCTCCTCCTCATCCCCCGTGCGAGACAAAGACACTGGGCGCAGCGCCAGACTCTTGGACCGTGGAGCTCGTGCCCGCTGGGGAACCCACTTCCAGATGGCGGCGCGCACAGGGGGGTACGGGGCAGGAGGGAAGGCTTCTTAGAAGAAGGCTGCTTCTCAGAAGGCGCCGGCCCTACATCTGTAGGCAAGGCCCGCGAATTCTTGGAAGAGGGGTGCTTCTGAGAAGGCTTCCTCCCTCCCCCGTGAAGGGGAGGAGGAGGGAGAAAGAGGAGGAGGAGGAGGAGGAGGAGGAGGCGGAGGAGGAGGAGGAGGAGGAGGAGGAGGAGAGGGAGGGAGGGAGGAGGAGGAGGAGGAGGAGGAGGAGGAGGAAGAAGGGATGAGGAGGAGACCTCTCCCCCCTGTGTGCGTGCCGCCGACACAAGTCCAAGCGCACGGGTTGTCACTGCGCGCGCCTGCAGCTCGAGGGGCTCGCCCCGGGTGGGAGTGCCTGTGCAGTGCGCTTCGACCTGCGACGTGGCCCCCGCCACTGTGAGCGGAGGAGACCCTCGATGCGCTCGATTGGCTCGACGCGCACCAGCGGGGGACCCCTCCATTTTCTCGTGGCGGTGAAAAGAACTGGTCCTAAAACCTCCTCCTCCTCCTCCTCTGCCTCCTCCTCCTCCTCCTCCTCCTCCCTCCTCCTCCTCCTCCTCCTCCTCCTCCTCCTCCTCCTTCTCCTTCTCCTCCTCCTCCTCCTCCTCCTCTCCTCCTCCTCTCCTCCTCCTCCCCCTCCTCCTCCTCCTCCCCCTCCTCCTCCTTGTCCTCCTCCTCCTCCTCCTCCTCCTCCTCCTCCTCCTCCTCCGGGGGCGGCTCCTTAGAGGGAGGCTGCTTCTTCGAAGGCGCGGGCCTTACACGCGCAGACACTCGACAAGCGCGCTCCACGACTCGCAGAGTGACTACCCGCAAATGGCCTGTCGCCAACATGTTGGGAGATTTACGACGCACCACATGGATGCAGAAATGATACGCGCCCTTCGGACGCTTGCGAATACAATCGAGGCGTCGACCCAAGGAACCCTAAATGAGGAACGAGCCCCCCTTTTCCAAAATTTCAATGTCGACTCCCAATCGAGAACTCAAGGAAAACCTTGGGCAAGCTGCGACACAATTCAGGAACACGGAGCCCCTCCCCGACGAAAAGGGCTCCTTCTCCAGCGCCCCAGCTGTAGGCTTTGAAGGGGCCCTGGGACACACAAGTAAACATACACAAGTAACCAGATTCCCCATATTCTCCCATATTTTCTGGGATTTAGTTTTCCCCCCACTTCTCATGTTTTCCCGTATTTTCTGGGGGATCGGCGATTCACTGTGTCTGTGTGTTTCTTCCCCTCCTGAGGCTTGCCGAGACGAGGCCCGCGCCTTGCTGAACCCCTCCGCTCCCCGCCTCGGGAGGCCCGCGCGCGCATCCCGGCCGGGCACTCCGGCCGGGCCAGCCTCGCGAGCGCCAGGAACTTGTTTGGGTGACCCCAAAGGGGGTCCAGCTGACAGGGGGTGGTGCAGTAGACCCAGACCTCCTCGTGCTGTGACAAAATCACGACGAAAGGTTTTTCGCTCTTTTTGGCCTCGGGGGGCCCTTACCGGGCCTCGGGACCGTCAAAAACGACTCGAATGCAAAACCGGTCCCAGGGAAGGGGTCCAGACCTCTGGGGGTCGACGTTGTGAAAAACTCACGACGTCGGGGGTCTGGGAGTCTGGGAAGGGGGTCCAGCTGACAGGGGGTGGTGCAGTAGATGTGGGGCAAGTGTATCGCAAGTGTACTGCGCTGGAGAATCGTACGGCGAATAATGTGCTGCGCGCGGACAATCTAGAAACATATCTGCGCTCCGGAACGTACTGCACGCCCCAGATGTATATACATCTTGTTCCCCCACAAATCTATAGCACCAAATCTATTGCACCACCCCCTTGTCGCTGGACCCTTTTTTGAGGTCACCCCGACTTTTGTGACGACCTGTGCGGCGTTGGACTGTGACAGTGGGGTCGCACGAAATCAGCTCACGGAAGTAGCTGATTTCCCTGGCGCCTCCAGGCGCCGGAGGCGCCAATGATCGGCGGCGGCGAGCGAGGGGGGAAGTGAGGAGGAGAAGGCCTTTTCAGAAGGCGGCGGGACTTCTCAGAAGCCCTCTGGCCTGCTGAAAGGTCTTTTTATGTCTTCGGGGAAGGTTGAAGAAACTTCTCAGAAGGCCCGGGGACTTCCGAGCCTTCTGAGAAGGCCCGCCCCTTCTCACTTTCTCCCCGGGCCCGCCGCCGAAATGTGTCGAGGAAAGGGGCCGAAAAGTGCCGCTTGTATCGGATTTCGTAATGCGGGATGACGATTAATAAAACATGGGAGAGAACGACAAAAAAACAGTTGCCTGCTGTTTCTGCACAAGTTTCTGACTGGAGGAGAACGATTACAAAAACAAAATAAAATGTTCCAGCCAGCGGCTGGTTTTTTCTAATCGTCATCCCGGGCGCCGCCGCGTGAACACGACCCCCGGTCATTTATTAATCGTCATCCTCCATGTCACCCCCCTCCTTCCCTCTCCCCCCCCTTCCGTCCGACCCGAGACGCCTTAAACGATCGCGGCTCTGTACAGTCGGGGCGTTGACCGAAGGAACCCTAAATATGGAACGAGGTCCCTTTTTCTCATAAGTTAATCTTCGATTCCCATGGGAAACCACAGGAAAACCAAAGGCAAACTGTGAAGCAATCGAGGAACACCGAGCCCCTCCCCAACGAAAAGGGTTCCTTCTTCAGCGCCCCGACTGTAAGACGAGGCCAGGACAAGAAAGAACTCGGGAGAGGATACATCAAGAAATTATGAGATCCGCTGGATCTGGAATGTCTCGGGCGCCGCGGCCTTCCCAGAGCGTTCTGGAACGCGAGCGATCGGGAACGCTCTGGAACGGATTAATCCTCGCTGGTCGCAATGGCTGAGGGCGGTTGCCGCCGCTGCTCCTGGTAGAACCGGTCCGCCGCGACCAGGCTGGCATGCCTGGGGGCGGCTGCGGCGATGCCGGTCGCAGGAGGAGGAACAAGGGAAGAGGAGGAGGGGGGGAAGGGAGGAAGATGAAGGGCGAGGAGGGACGAGGAGGAGGATGAGGATAGGAGAGCAGGGAGGAGTCGCAGTCGCTGAGGAAGCGGGGGATATCCAACCAGCACTAGGGGCCGTGAGCACGGGACGGGAAGATGTCCAGAGCTCGAGTACGGGATCGCTTACAGTCTTGTGCACCCCAAAATCCATCTGCCCGAGGAACCTGCAAACAAACCCAACATGCCCCGTAGAGATCTACGGAACCACGCGGAGCGGTATACGTAATTCGTCTTGGCTTCGGAGGGAAATCAGTTCGCCGACGAAGCGAAGGGCGCCGAAGAATGCGAAGGGCGCCGAGAAAAAAGCGAGGGGCGCGGGGTGGATCAACTCTGTAGCCGATCCCCTCTTCGAGGAGCCCCCCGGCCGCGCGACTCGCTCGCTTCCGGCGCTGCTGCCGCCCCTCGGCGGCGCGCGCGACGGGCGCGGCTCCCGGGGCCGGCCAGAGGAGCGTCGCCGCGTGCCGCAGGTCTGCTCCGACATCGAAAAGGGCGCTGTCGCCACGCGTGGGCCAGC